CTGAAAATTTGAAGAAAATTTGAGTATGCAAAAAACCCTGCTTAAATGTGATTTTTTTCTTATAAGCAGTCTTTTATGCACAAACCCGATAAGGATTCCGATAAGAAAATCTTGTTCAGATAAGCACTAAGAATTTACACAATATTTCCGATTAGCATGGAAGATCTGCATACATAAAATCTATATAAGCATGTATGAACTTATAAATATAGAAATTTAAAAGGCATGACCGAACGGTCAAAAGGGTCTTGAAAAAGATTATAACGAGAATCTTAGAAATGCATATTATAAGCACATGCAAAGATAAGTTTTTTTTCGATGAGCTTTTGAATAGATAGTTGTCGTTTCTAAAATAAAGATAAGATTATTTTCTTACAATAAAAAGGGGTATAGGCTTAAAAAACATGAATTTTATTCGTCTCCAGAAAATACAAATGTAATCGTTTATTTTTTTAGAATAAAGAATGTCTCTAAAAACTTTTAAAACATTTAATGTTTACTTATCAAGATTTATGGTGTGACCCTAGGACCCTGATAAACTTTGACAGATTTTACTCATGGACCCTTTTTCTGTATGGAGTAGTGTTGCATGCATTTAAGTATATTTAGATGAGTTCTAAACCTGCCCAGCCAACCGGCCTCAGCCCGGACAGATCATGCAGTTCTAGAGGATTTTTCATTAATATTTTAGTGGATCTCCTTATTAGTAAAAAAGTTTAAGAACTCTACTAGGAACTGTAAAAAATCCGGAAAATATTCAAATTCAATATAGTCTAACAAATTTTTCATAAAATAAGAAAGATTGTTGTTATTAAATGAACCTTCTTAAATTCTTGAATATTTTTAAAATGTTGTTTTTGGATTAGTTTTTGAATCCACCCAAGGTGTGCTCCGGCCCGAGGATAGATTTTAGGATCGGAGTCTTTAGAGGCAGTCTGGACATATACCTACTCGTAGACACAGGTAGATATACAGGTAGATATATAGGTAGATATAAAGGTAGATACAGTAAGATATACAGGTAGATATACAGATATATATAGGTAGATATACAGTTAGATATACTGGTAGATATACAGGTAGATATATAGGTAGATACAGTAAGATATACAAGTAATATGGATATAGATATAAGTACATATATACTATATAGGTAGATCTATAGGTAGAAATATAGGTAGATATATAGGTATATATACAGGTAGACACATAGGTAGATATACAAAAACTGTATGAGTTAGATATGTAGGTATATATTCAGGTAGATATATAGGAAGATAAACAGGTTGAGCTATAGATACACAGGTAGATACATATGTAGACATTTATGTAGATATACCGGTAGGTATATAGGTAGATTAACAGGTAGATATACAGGTAGATATTTAGGTAGATCTATAGGTGGATTTGATTATTTTAAACAAAAATTATGTCATTTATGAAAAATAATATTAAAATATTAAAAAAATATTAAAATTGACGCATTTTGTTAAAAATTGGGGGGAAAAAACAAAAAAAATTAAACGTGAAAATAATTTTTAACAATTTTTCTACTTCATTAGTTGTCTGGTCAGCCAATGCTAATATTTCATCGGTCAGAACCAAATAAATTTAACGCCATAATTATTCCTAAATTTTCTTGAAAAATTTAGAGAATTTCATGCCTCAGCAGATTTAAGCTGCTTAACACAATTTGACGAATTTTAATTTGATAAGCAGAAAGATCAAAAAGGAACTAATCACTTGCCAGTTGCTTTCACACTTAAATTTTCTTGTTTGACATCTTTGCAACCTGATGGTTAAACTTTGTATGTTTGAAACTTTAAATATATGATTGTAATAATATCCTGATTTGAAATATCAATCTACGAAATCAGATTACAAGTGATTAGAGGATTTGAAAATTAGAGTTTGAGGTAATCAGATTTATGCAAAAGATAATTGTTCAGAAAAAAGAAAGCAAAAACCTGTACATGACTTTGACATTCAAATTTCGTATTTTTTGTATCTTTCTATGGAAAAGTTATGAAATTTTAATCACGGTTCTTAAACGAATTTCAAAACAGTCCCTTTAAATATCTTTCGCCATTGCTTCAATCCTTGGCCTATTTAATATCATAACATTTCAGCTTTCTCAGCTAAAAAAAAACACCTTTAAAAGTCATTTATTCACGGACAATAACAACATGAGGGCGCTTCAAAACCTTAAAGTACATTTGTTTATATTTTACATTTCTATTTTTACATTAGAAGATATATAGATCATAAGTAGATATGCCTCTATATGTGACATCATTAGTAGATACACAGATAGTAGATACATGCCTCTATATGTGACATCATTTGAAGTATATAGATCTGAAGTAGCTATGCCTCTATATGTGACATCATTAGAAGATATATAGATCTTAATTAGCTATGCCTCTATATGTGACATCATTAGTAGATATATAGATAGAAGATACATGCCTCTATAATGCATTTATTAAATTTAAAGAATTTTGAAAGTTTTAAAATTTTTGGAATAAATTAAACTGCATAATGCACTGAATGAAGTGTACACTATAAGAAATGTTATTTAAATTAGTATTTTAAAACAATTTAGAGAATTTCAATTTTTAATATATTCAAATCAACTCAAGTTTTGAAAATGATAAAAATTACATAAAATGGCCGTTTCATTAAATTGCTCCGTTCATTAAAAAAATCACAGGATTTTTTTTTAAAAACAAATAGACAAAGGAATTGAGTCTTTGCCACAAATTCATATTTTCTGATCCCTATATCTTTGCAACCCAATGTCTTAGACCCTTTATATTTCAAATTGTGAATTATGTTGGACCAAAAAATCTAAATTTGAAATATCAAACGTTTATACCATCAGGTTGCAAAGATATAGAGATTAGAAATTTTGAGTTTGAGACAAAGACTCAATTCCTTTGATTGGAAATTTTCTAAAATTAATATTTCAAGTAACCTTGTATTTATAGAGTGGCAGTCTGCACCCTTAAAACCTTTAAATGTTTAAGAATGAATAAGATCTTTATAATCCATATGTTTAACTATTTCAATTTTGAAAGATGGCAATGCCCAATTATAACAACCCTTAGCATTTTTGTCTGATCAAGTATGAATTGGAAATCAATGTTTATAATTTTGAAAACTGAACAGTCCTTTTACAAAGATTTTAAAGGTTATAAAAATATAATTTTCAAAATATAATTTAGTTTGTGTTTCAGATTCTCCTTGACTCAGAATGTCTCTAGACCTGTACACCCAGAACATTCCTCTTACACAGAAGGAATCAATCAATCAATCAATCAATAAGCCAATCAATAATTCAACTAGTCAATCAATTAACCAATCAATTAATTATTTGATGATTTTAATCCAAGAAATAAAGGATGGTCATCAAAATTGTTTATTCATCCTGACTTCGAATTATTTTTTTTTTATTTTAGTTAAAAAGCATATTCTAGTCAAAGATTTTTTGTCTGTTAATGACGCAAAGACAGTTACAGAAGTTACTCCATGGCAATATCTGTTACAATTATTTAAAATAATTGGAATAAGAAAGTGAATGATTGATTTGTTGGTTCTAGGCTAGGTTCTGGTCCAATTATGTTTCTGCCCTAAAGGGATCCCAGGATCTAAGAGCCCCTGACGATAGCCGCGTTAGGTTAGATTTTATACAATTAAAGGAAATAATTTAATAATATTTAAGATTTTACAAATTCAATTTTTTTAAATATTCTCTAATCTCTTGGATGTTTCAAAACAGAATCTGGAAAGATTTGCGGTTAAGATGTTTTGTAGTTTTTAGCACTTGGAACTACATCTTCTTACTTGCAACTACATCTTTTATACTTGCAACTACATCTTTTATACTTGCAACTACATATTCTATACTTGCAACTACATATTCTTTACTTGCAACTACATACTCTATACTTGGAACTACATATTCTATACTTGCAACTACATATTCTATATTTTAGAACTTACACCTACATATTCTTTACTTGCAACTACATATTTTATTCTTCCAACTACATATTCTATACTTGCAACTACATATTCTATACTTGCAACTACATACTTGAAACTACATATTCTATACTTGAAACTACATATTCTATACTTGCAACTACATATTCTATACTTGCAACTACATCTTCTATACTTGCAACTACATATTCTATTCTTGCAACTACATACTCTATACTTGCAACTGCATATTCTATACTTGCAACTACATAGTCTATACTTGAAACTACATATTCTAGACTTACAACTACATATTCTATACTTGCAACTACAAAGTCTATACTTGCAACTACATATTCTATACTTGCAACTACATATTCTATACTTGCAACTACATATTCTATTCTTGCAACTACATAGTCTATACTTGCAACTACATAGTCTATACTTGCAACTACATAGTCTATACTTGCAACTACATATTCTATACTTGCAACTACATAGTCTATACTTGAAACTACATAGTCTATACTTGAAACTACATATTCTATACTTGAAACTACATATTCTATACTTGCAACTACATATTCTATACTTGAAACTACATATTCTATACCTGAAACTACATATTCTATTCTTGCAACTACATATTCTATACTTGAAACTACATATTCTATACCTGCAACTACATATTCTATACTTGCAACTACATATTCTATACTTGAAACTACATATTCTAGCGCTCAATTGGTTTCCAATAGCTTTCATTTTAGTAAATATTGTTTTGAATAGCCCATTATGCTGTTAAGCTGTTAAAAAATAAACATTTAACATATTGACGGATGTCTGAAAAAACAAACTGTCAATATTTTTTTCAGGCGCAAACATTCTGAAGAAGGTCGTCGTTGACTTTTACAAACTTACAGTTTTTTTGCAAGAATTTAAAAATTAAATCACGGTTGCAATAAAAAAAAACTTGTTAAAAATAAACTGGGCCAGCTTGTCATTAATCTTGTTGATAGGTAAATAGTAAATACTGGGGCAGACAGGACAGGTGACCAAAATGACCGGAATTTAATGAGCTAAAATATAGAGAACTACCTGAATATTTGGCCGCTGTTCCTACAAGTTGTTTTTCAGGATAAATTTGTTTTAACACCCCCCCCCCACACCTTACCCTTACAGCATCTTGCTTATTTTAACTTTAATGTATTTAATATCTTACAGTTAAATATACCTAAAACTTAACATATGTTTTCCATTATAATTAGCATTATATTATGTTGGCTCTGTGCGGTCTTGTTAGAAAGATATTGAAATTGAAATTGACTTTACATCTATAAATCCTCTGCTTAATAATGTCAATGTAAAAATTGAAATATCCCAACATCTAAAATATTTCTGTTTATAATATTATCGATCTTTAGGAATAAGGTAATAGAGAACAATTCTGCATTCACTTTTCTGTAGTAATTAGATTTTTCTGAAGAAGATAAACAACAGTTTAAAATAACCAACATTTTACAAAGATTTATCTCATACATTCTTGTTCTTGTTCTTGCTCTTGCTCTTGTTCTTGTTCTCGTTCTTGTTCTAGTTCTTGTTCTTGTTCTTGTTCTTGTTCTTGTTCTTGTTCTTGTTCTTGTTCTTGAATCGGACATGCCATTCTATAAATGAAGTGTGACCTGGAATTATGTCTACAGCCCCTTTAACTTAGGACCTGGCACCCATCCATCATCGAGACCCTCCCCGACGAGTTCCCCGACCTAAAGCACGAGTTCGGTAAACTCGAGTCCCAGATGTTTGACAGGTACAACAATGTGGCTTAATTTAGTTAACGCGCTCCAATGTTCTAGAAATGTCGTCTTTATAGCACTGGGAAATCGAAATCCTCATATGATGATTATGGTGAAACGGGAACGTTGCCACTTTATCTTCAGACGATAATCAGTTACGTCTATGTTACGTCATAAGAGGATTTTTAACGTCCAAGCTAGGAATACGATCGACAATTCAGAATATCTAACTTTACTGTACAACCTTTAATAGATACAACAACGTGGTTTAAAGGGATTGTTCACTATAGTTAACAAAATAACATAATTTCCACTTTTTATTATAAAAAAAAAATAAGGTTTGCATTTTTTGGTAACATTTTCTTTCATGTCAATATATCTATTTGAGAAAACCAAAGTTTCAAATTATGACCTGATTATGACGCAATGTCGTATACCTTTTCTATATTAACTTAAAATAGATTCTCCATCAGGTTTTAAAGATATAGGTATAAGAAAATTTACGTTTTTGGCAAGTTTATTTACATAATTATAAATAGCCAACTTTAATAAAATTCAGTTTAAAATATTTAAACAGCTTTTTGTAGAACTTTAAGAAAGTACTAAAACAATTAATTAACTTTCATCGCTAAATGCAAAAAAAGGAATTGCCACAAACTCAAATTTTCTAACTCCTACATATGTGTTTTTTTAAATTTAAAAGTCTTAGCATACTCTGAAAGGGTCTTCAAAAAGATTTTAATATTTTAAACATTTAAATTGTATTCATTTTTAAATGTTTAAAATATTGAAATCTTTTTGAAGACCCTTTCAAAGTATACGAACTCTTTTAAAGTTTAAAAAAAACAGCCACTTCCTTATAAACATTTAATTACTAGATATCAAAAAATAAAATTTGAATGAAATATTATCCATGACAAATATTTCAGACCTCGCAGGCACGGAACCCAGCCTCTCACCCCGGTTCTGCCTGATGCCCATGACAGGTATTTTCAAACAATGTAGAAAATTTAGTTTAAATAAGAAATTTTTTCAAAATTCTGAAAAGAATGTAAGGTATTTAAAAATTTTGTTCGCAATTGCAAACAAAATATCTGTTAACTTTTTATGTCAGTTTTTGGAATCCCTTTAGTGTTTTCTTAGTCCTATCAAACAGACATTTCTAAAGTAACATTTCCTACATCATAAATTATTTTTTCACATATATTTTTAACTTCCATCAAGACCACAGAAGTAAAATTTTAAGTAATAATTGATTTATTTATATGATTTATATACTTATTAACTGATTAATTAATTAATTGATAAATCGAGTTATTTATTAATTGATCAATTAAATGTGTAATTAATCGATTGATTTAATAATTGATTGATTAATTAATATATTGATTGATTGATTGTTTAATTAATTGATTGATAGATTAATTGATTGATTGAATTGAAGGATATTCACTGTTGGTTACTCCTATCAGCCCGTTCACACTGAAATCTACGGAACCTACAGAGCTCAAACTGCTCGTATGTCTTAATCTAAAGGTAAATACAATTAAAGTGCTTCAGTTTACTTGAAATTTATCTGAAGTCAAAATATAGCATTTAAAATTTAGTATTACTACATCACTTCACATTCTAAAGAAAATAAGTCATTGCTATAAACGCTGATTTTCTAAATCCCTATAACTTTGCAACCCAATGTCGTAGACCTTAATGAATTCTTTTAAATCAAATAAGTTTGAAATATTAATATCAAGATTATTATTATGTATATCCTTTGATGCATAAAACGCCGTGAGTCCACAAACATTGGGTTGAATATGGGAGTGCAGCTGATATGAGGTTTACTATTACTATAGACCGCTACATTCTCGTAATAGTTCGGGCTATGTGACTCAGTTTTACCTCTACCCATTGGTGGTTAGATCCAAGTCCTCGAACACACTTAATCAATTTTATTTCATTTATTTCTTAATCTTTACTCCAGAATTAACATTACTTCCTTTCATCCGTTATAGCTGAGCGCTAAACCTTTTTTAGGAACCTTTCTTTAGCCCGAGAATCTTTCTTTAGCCCGAGAACCTTTCTTTAGCCCAAAAACCTTTATTTAGCCCGAAGAACCTTTCTTTAGCCCGAAGAACCTTTCTTTAGCCCGAGAACGGTATTAAAAAAAAATGGTATTATCCAAAAAATTTTAAAATCTTAAAATCCTACGAAATCATTTGTTTTTGATAATTAATGTCCAATAAAAAACAACTTAAGAAATAAAATAAATTATATTAAGAAAAAAGACGCCCAACACTTTAAATTACGAACTTTAAAAATCGCTAATTTGGTAAATTTTTGTTGTTAAATATAAAAACATTTGTGCCGCTTCATTAGCGCGTATATTGCGTTATAAATCCACATTAAACATAGTTTGATCTATGAATTAATTTGAAGAATTATTTGCTTGAGATGATGTTGATGCTTATAATACCGGTCATATTTCATATTCCTTAAACGTCTCATATTTCCCTAGAAAACTTTCAATTGAAAAAACTGGAAAGTTCAACATATTGCATGTAGCAGCTGAAGTAACAAAACATATTGCATGTAGCAGCTGAAGTAACAAAACATATTGCATGTAGCAGCTGAAGTAACAAAACGATTCAAATGAATTTTATTGTCCAGGACTTCATACAAAAACTCCATCTTAATTACAAAGAAATGCAAAATTAAGTTAAGTTTATCATTCTTTTCTTACTTTGGCTAACAGTAAAAGTTTCACATACGCACCCCATTAAAATACATTCTTATATTAGAACTGTAGACCCCCAAATAGCTGCAAGGGTTATCTATATTTGATCTTCTTGAAATCTTGCAGATATATTTTGTTTTAACACACAAATATCACAAGTTTTAAAACCAACCTACTCGAGATTTTTTTTTTACACAAAAATATCATTTGAACTTTAAAGGTTTAAAACCCTTTGACAGCGCATTCTCTTGGGGATTACATTTTCCTTAAATGAACTGTAAGCGTAATTTTACAACAGTACCCTTTAAGCCTTAGACGAAGCGAGAAGGACAAACTTTTCCTTATTTATATACACAAACAAACGATTGTACGCAATTTTTGAACGAATTTATAAGATTTACGGCAATTTACACACCATTTAAAAGATATTCGCGCTGATTTCTCTGTCCTCGATGATCAGTCAAAGGTTTAAAGGGACCATTAAGTAAATCGGCAATGCCCCATCTTTAAACGGAAGTTCACTTGAAACTATGCAAACAGTACCTTTACTTCTAATTTTTTTAGAGTATTAATTCATATTTTTTGTCAGGTATGAAAGACAACTGCAGCACTTCATCCCCAATCATCATGAGAAGCAAGTTCTACTAGTTCATAACAAATGATGATCAATAATTATAAAAATTTAATTTGAAAAATAAAAATCAATTTGAAATCTAGAAAATTGTCAGGAAAGCTGCGTTTCTGGCAGCCTAGAGCTGTAAAAAGCTAAGAGGCAGAAATTAGGAATATTTTCTGCTCTGCTAAATTGTAAACTCCATATTTTGAGTGAGTAACAAGCCTGCTGCAACCTCCAGGCCTCAGGGCTATTTATTTTCAGGGGTTTGACGTCATATTGCCTTGAAACAGAGAGCAATGGAAGGGGGGGGGGGGGCAGTGAGCTGCTTTAATCAAGATTTTTCCAGATTTTCAATCATTAGATACTTGTTCGAATTTCAAATAGCTTAAACAGGTGTTTTTTTTAGATTAGTCATTCTTATATAAATTCAGACTTCATTCTGATATATAACTTATATTTTTGTTCAAAGAGATTATAACTTCAAGAGCGTTTGATCTCCCCTTCAGCAGTAAGATTTAAGTCGTCACTTCTCCTCTCTCCCTCATTACCCTATTTTCCCCCTTTCCACCCCCTCCTATCTTCCCCTTTAGATAAATAGCCTCTGTGCTGTTTTAACCTTTTCATATTGAGAGAAAGTCATATTTTCCAACATTTTAAATTCAGGGAATTCAGGAAAATATACTTATTTTCTATACTACAATGTAGCATTTACTTTGCATTTTCTATACTACAATGTAGCATTTACTATGCATTTTCTATACTACAATGTAGCATTTACTCTGCATATTCTATACTGCAATGCAGCATTTACTCTGAATTTTCTTTACAGCAATGTAGCATTTACTCTGCATTTTCTATACTACAAATTACAATGTAGTATTTACTCTGCATTTTCTTTACTACAATGTAAATTGAATTTTCTATACAGCAATGTAGCATTTACTCTGCATTCTCTTTACTACAATGTAGCATTTACTCTTCATTCTTTATACTACAATGTAACATTTACTCTGCATTTTCTATACAGCAATGTAGCATTTACTCTGCATTTTCTATGCTACAATTTGTAGCATTTACTCAGCATTTTTGACCGTTTTTTTACTTATTGATTATATATCGATTTAAAAAAAACTGAAAACCAACAGTATTTTTTGTCCCCAACAGTTTTTCCTCTAAAAATCTGGTTGGAATAGTCAAACTATAACATATTTAAAAAGCTTCCTACAAACCTACTATATAGGATCAAAGGCGTAATCAATTTTTTTAGCAAAGGAATTGAGTCTTTCCCCACAAACTCCGATTTTCAAATCCTTTGCAAGCTAAAATCATAGACCTTAGATATTCAAACTTTGAAATATGTTAGATTTAATAACCTAAGTTCGAAATATCAAAGGGTTACACCATCCGGATGCAAAGATTTAGGGATATGACCATTTAAGTTTGTGGCAAAGAATCAATTTCTTTTAGGGAAAATGTTCACTGTTCTATAAAATAGTAAAATATTTTTTTTAATATTTTTTATGCTTAAAACAAATAGAAGACACGAAAATCTATTTTTGTTCCATCATCGCTGCTCCGTATGTTGCTGAGAGACGGTTATCTAAAATATTATCAAACATTAATCAACATCAACTTGATTTATTAAAAAATTTAAGATATTTTAGAGACAGTAATGACCTTCCATTTGTAGACCATGGCCGGCAGGGGTATGCCTTTGACTGATCAAGGATGACGGACTTTTTTGTTATAAACTACAGAAACGCTTGTAATTAATTGAACATTTGATTTGCAACTGGTTTTATTTATTTAAGAATAATTATAATATTTACTTTTTAGAACTCACATAAACAAGATTTCTACGTTCAAATTTTTGAAAATTGTTTTCAGCTGAAAACTTTAGAATGGTGGATATTGAGATCATATGCCTGATCCTCTCTTTTTGTTAATATCAAGACTAATTTAGTCTATATAGATTAATTTCTAGAGATTAGAGAAATGTTGATGGTGTATTATCAATTGAACTAATGATCGATTAAACATACGTAAGTTTTGGATTTATGTTTATTAAGAGTTAAGACTAACGTTCAAAATGGCTATAGGCCTCAAATGTGATAAAATATGCTTTTTAATAAGTTCACATTAACATGAATTAAATTTATATTTGGTGAAATGCTCCAAAAGCTGGCAATTAATTGTGAACAGCTGACTTTAGTTCAATCGGATAATAGTCCCATCGATATAGCATCGTATCTGTCATTGTTATCAAATACAACTTTTATACAGTAGGGATATCCAAAAAGAGGATAAAGAAGAAAATCAAAAGTGTGTACTGTGTACTCTGTCCATAATCAGCACCGCTTTACATCAGGCATTGTTATTCTGGCATCAGTTAAGGTCACATGAAATTACGCTTTTAATCCTTTTGATTTAATTTTAAAAAAAGAACTTACAGAGATGTTGTTTTGCAGTTACAGGCGGGTATCTAGAATCAGGCCCAGACAGAGGTTCACATAAAACTAAACAGATTTTTTTTGTAATTGCCTTAGTGGGCCAGGGGGGTTTTTGGTAATGAACAGATTGAATTTGTGAAAGGTTATGGATTAGAAGGCAGAATAAGCATCAAGCAAGACCCAATATATCTGTGGCAACTCACATGAACCCAGCTGCAGGGAGGTTCATGCACTTTCAAAGTTAAAAAATGCTACCAAGTTTGTTTTGACATTTATTATCATTATAAATGCACCAATTTAAAAACTAAATATTTAAAAACAAAAAATTTAAAAACAAAAAAATTGAAAACTATCGAAAATGGGGACTTTCAGAGTAACAGTTAAAAGATAAAATTGTTGATTATAGGAAGGGGGGCCGCAGGAAGAGTCTTCAAAACATATTATGATAAAATTCACCTTCGTCATCTGGGTGAACAAAGAATGCAATGGATTGTCTGGCGCACTTTCTTCTCAGCTCTTCCTAGAAAATAAGTCAAAGAAAAAAAAATTAAAAAAGGATATAACATAGAAAATTAGGAGAACCAAAATGAATACCAAACAGGAAAATTCTATGTAATTTTATATTGTAATATTGGTTCACTAAATATCAATAAGCTATTAAGTTTAAAAGATTTAAACTTTTATAAAACCTATTTTCCGAGGGTGATTAGCCGCAGGCTGCATTAGGGGCCAAGTACTGCGGCTATGATGGGCTAGGGAACAGGACAGGAGTGATGTAGATAGAGTATGCGAAAGGGAGCCGAGCACTGCGGCTAGGATAGACCTGAGAAGTTTCCACTTGAGAAATTGCACATTTGGGAAGTGGCCAGTAGTTTCCACTTGAGAAATTGCACATTTGGGAAGTGACCAGTAGTTTACACTTGAGAAATTGCACATTTGGGAAGTTGCCAGAAGTTTCCACTTGACAAATTGCACATTTGGGAAGTTGCCACTCGGAGGTTGGCGCTCGGGAAAATGCCTTTGGGAAACTACCTAACATCACTGCCCGTGCTCCATACATTGATGCTGAATATTACCTCGGGAATTCTAACCCTATGTCTAGTGGCTTGAAATCTACCAGCAGTAATATTTTCCAGCAGATCACCCACATTCATTAAAATTGTTCCTACGATAACCATTATTATATTTTCCAGCAGATCACCCATATTCATAAAAATTGTTCCTACGATAACCAAATTAGTTATTTCTCTATTCAATTAATAATTTGATAATAGAGTTTAATTTATAGAGAATTTTCCATTGATATAAGAATAATTGTATTGTCTGGTTGTTAAAGGTAAAACAATTTTGAAAAAATCTATTTAAGAAATAATTTTGCTCATATATACATATGGTGGGTAATTTTCCTAAGGTATTTTCCCAAGGGCGACTTCCCAAGTGACAACTTCCCAAATGTGCAACTTCTTAAGCGGCAACTTTCCAAAGGTTAGGTTAGGCCCTCTAAGGTGCGGAAGGCTTCAATGTTGGCCGAGCGCTGCGGCTAGGATGGGCTAGGGTGCAGAGCGCTGCGGCAAGAACATACTTCGGGGTTACCGGTTGGGAAATTGCACAGTTGGGAAGTTGCCACTTGGGAAAAATCCTTCGAGAAAGTACCTAACATAGATACCCTGGGGGTGACATAGGCAAAAAAATTGTTTTTTTCAATTGGAATTTTTTCTAGTGTTTCTAAATTCTACGGGCAACGCCGGGCACTTCAGCTGCTAGTTATATTAACATATATGCTTTTTTGGAGAGTTTTTAGCCAAAAAATGTTACAAACTTAATTTGAAAAGGTAGTTGTATAAGGCTACATTTCTTGTATAAAACGTGTTGTATCAACACTGCGTTGGGTATTCCAGACTGGACAGTATGATCGACTGAATGCATTATTCCGTATATGTCGTATCGGCTCGAATAATGCAACTTTTAAAGTGCCGGCAAATATTACATTTGTATGAAAAAAAAAACAGAAATCATGAGTGGTCTGTGTTGTGTGTATTTTTGCGCGCTACGATCTTATAACATGATATTCTCTGTAGTACATAATTTATAATGTTATCAAACAAAAATCATTGTTATATCTGATGAAAGTAATATATTTTGATGAAACAGTGGATGAACAGATTATCTTCACCTGGAACAGGGTCAGCTAAAACCCAGCTGCCATCAACAGATTTGGCCTCTAAGCCACCCATATCATCCTAAATATATTTTGGGTTTGGAATGATCTGTTTTTTGTGTCAGTTGATCATACAGAGCGTCCCATATCATATTAGATTATCTCCAAGCTTTAACGCCAAAATAAAACCATAATACTCAAAAAAAAAAACTAGTATTTTCCGCAAGAAAATTCTTATATTAGCCTTATTCAATTTTTCAAAATGATTCAATCTTCTTAAATTTTCTAATTAGTCCTGAAAATCGTATTTAGACCGATTGACAATCTATTATGATGTGGGACACCCTGTATATGCTATAGCAATTAAATGTTCTGTATTGTACACAGCACTGAATGTAATCAATTACATTTTTTAAATTTGTCTAAAACACAGCAGAAGATTGCCTCTTGTTACAGCAAAGCATGCTTTCAAGTGAGCCTCTATGCAAAGATGGCAATAAACGCTCACGTATAATTAAGATCCTTTAAATATAATTAAGCCAAGCTACAGCCGAACAGGGTTACCCACAAAACATGAAACAATTTTACGGAACTTATTCAGTTTTTATTCTTAGATGAGGCTTGTTTTATCTTTTTAAACCATTGTAAATGGGTTTAAAAAAAAACAATATTTAAGGCTATGGACCAAAATAAATCTCCATGTGGCTATATTGAAAAAGTTTTAGGTCGTCATTAAAGGCTCATTCTTTGTGGGTGACCCTTTATAGTAAATATACCTATTACCTACACATTAACATTTAAAGATTATGAGGAAATATAAATTTCAAAGTTATATTAAAGATGTTTCAGCTTTAGCTGGCGAATACCTGGAAAAGCAAGGTAAAGGTTCCATAATCAGAATGCTCTCCACATCTGAAATAATCAATCTATATATTTTAGGTATTTTCAAAAATTCAAGTTTCGGCAAACCCTATCTCAACATTATAAATATTTTAGTGTCAGCAAGTTACCAGAACTGAAAATCAAGCATTTGCCACCAAAGAAAATAAGGTGAAATCTCCAGCTATATATATGTTAGCTATAGCTGGCCAAACGGCAGGACTAAATTGGCTGAAATTTTTTTTTGGAAACTCATGGGTACCATTGGGGTCATGAAGGCTAAAAAATAAATTTTTTTTTTTCAAATTTTTTTTTAATTCTACGGATAACTCCGGGCAATTCATTTAGCTAATCAATAAATCATGAAATATTTCGACCTATTTTATTCAATTTTAATCACCTGACTATTCCGGGCCTTGCTTCATCCTCACTTAGGAAAAAGTGAAAAGTTTTTTTTAAATGTTTGCAAATATTGGGGCTGGGACTTTTTTCAAACCATTTGTTAACGTTTTGCTAAAATTGCTCAAAAGTCCAACTTTTCAGATATCTGTTCGTTCGCAGCCAAAAACTGAACGTTTAATTCAGTCGGCGGTACTTTTTGTTATTTTTAAAAAGGTTAACGTTCGTTGACGAGCTTATTAAAGGTGCCAAAAAATAAAAATGTATTCTTTATTTTCAGTTAGTTTCTATCTTAAGCAGCAAAATTAACGAAAGTCTAAAACACATTCGTTCGCTTTTTTATTTTCGTTTTTCTCTAAACAGTTTTTTTGTTTATAGTTAACAGAATCATTCGTTAATTTATAAAAGCTTGTCGTTCGTTAACGAATGTTGCACAGTTATATAAAATTTATTTGTATTCTTTTTCAATTATTCCTTATTGGTGGATAGTGGATTGATCTTAGTGTCGACCCATTGGTAGCAATGTCTCCTATTCCCTAAAACAAAGAAATAGTTCAGTTCTAAAAAAGCTTCGGAGGTCTGGATCTAAGACAACCCCCCCTCCCCCCATAAAAAAATTATGGAGAAAAAAGTGCACTGTAAGATAAAAGCCAATTTATAGAGCATACAATTTACTAAATATCTGAAACATCTTAGATTCTTTTGGACTCTCTTAAAGCCAAAATAATGATCCCAATCTATACTGCTACTCCTTTCTTGAACTTGATCAAAAGTACTGTTTCTTAATCTGATACTTCTAGATGCTGGTTTAGAAGATACTCAGGGTCCTGGTTTAAAGCTCTATAGGATATCTGATCAAGTACTCCTTGATGTGTATTAATAAGATACTCAGGGTCCTGGTTTAAAGTTATGGATTTCGGGTTTTTGCGCCCCCTGAGAAAGAAAAAAATGTATGCCCGCCCCCTGGAAAAATTCCTGAATACGCCCCTGGGCACTATTATACAACATAATGTTTTAGAAGGATAAGTAAACTGTTCTAAATGTACTAAATTCATCAAACCCCCCCGCCCCTTCATTCTCATATTTTTATCATAACATGGCCCACATCCATATTTAATCTGGAGAATGATAACATCAGATTATTTTCCCCCGATTGATTTTGCGTAAATTTAACGATCACAAAATCTTTTCTAACAAACTGAATCCAAACAAATAAAAAGGGATTTTCCTCCAAATGCAAGCACCCCCAGTCCCGACAGATTTAGAAAGCTTGAATATGAATNACTCTCTTAAAGCCAAAATAATGATCCCAATCTATACTGCTACTCCTTTCTTGAACTTGATCAAAAGTACTGTTTCTTAATCTGATACTTCTAGATGCTGGTTTAGAAGATACTCAGGGTCCTGGTTTAAAGCTCTATAGGATATCTGATCAAGTACTCCTTGATGTGTATTAAGAAGATACTCAGGGTCCTGGTTTAAAGCACTGTAGGATACCTGATCAAGTACTCCTTGATGCTGGTTGAGAAGAAACTCAGGGTCCTGGTAAGGTTTAAAGCACTGTAGGATACCTGATCAAGTACTCCTTGATGCTGGTTGAGAAGATACTCAGGATCCTGGTTCAAACTGACAGAGATACATTGCAGAATCCGTAAACTTAGCTTAACACTCAGCTCTCCGAGCTGAAGCAAAAGTTTTATTAAAGGATTTGTGTCTTTCCAACAAACTCTGATTTTCTAATCCCTATATCTTTAAATTCAATGTCGTAGATTTTAGATAGTTCAAACTTTGAATCAAATAATTGATCAAATAATCTAACTTTGAAATATCATAGATTTACATCATCAGGTTGGACAAATATAGGGATTAGAAAATTTGAGTTTGTGACAAAGACCCAAGTTTGACCCCTGGCATTAAAATCTCCTGTTTTTTGTGCCATTGTGTCCAATGAGTTTCGAAGCAAAGTCTGATTTGAGTAAAGGACTTGAGCCTTTGTCACAAAAAGTTTTCTAATCCCTTTATCTTTGCCCCCTGATGGTGAACTCTTTTTATACTTTAAACTTAGATTATTTTATCTAACAGAATTAATAGTTTGAAATATCTAAGATATACAACATTTGTTTGCAAAGATATAGGGATTAGAAAATCCTAGTTTCCAGCAAAGACTCAATCCCCTCCTTCTCTCTCCGTCCCTCCCCTCTGGTAAAATGATTATTAACCTTAACTAAAGCTGGCCTTAGAGTTGGACAATCTTTATCAGGAAATTTACCACCAGAAGATATATTCAATAAATCATAGGTCTCCCTGAAATATAAGAGCATAAGAGGGTTCATGGGATCAATATTGATCCTACGATCATTTAGATCAAGAACTAATAAAGCTAAACAAATCTTACAAAAATGGAATAACAACTTTTTATTTTGATATTTTTACCTAACTTCATGATCAGCGATCTTTCCATCCTCATCCTGATCAAAGATCTCTCTTCCCTCACACACCCAACCTGGATATCGTTGATCAATCTTTAAAAGATTTTTTTTATGGATTCCGGCCCATTTCTAGTCATTTTCAACAAGTAACATAGATAAATATTCTGTTGATATTTTAAGTTCTGATATGCTCTTCTTACTTTTATCGCTCATCCTTACAATTTTTAAATTTTTTTTGAATTTTGAGATATTTGATCACAAAAAAAAGTAGCAGGATGGTTGCCATAGATTTCTGCCATAGTTTTTAAAAAGTTTGTTTGAAAAAAATATTCGTTCAGTAAAAAAAACAATAGTTTTTTTTATAAATCTTTTGAAAATTCGATTGTTCCATTAAAAAAACGATAGGTTTTTCAAGTTCCGTCGAACATTTTTCCCGTTTAGTTAGTAAGTAATTATTCAATACACTTCAAAAGAATAAGGACAAACTCCTGATGATGCCAAAGTTTTTGGCGAAATATATTTAGAAGAAAATGATATAATTCTAGTGCTAGAGAGTAGGGTTGGGATTTGTTTAAAAACGATCTAAAGTAATTATTTAGAAAGTAAGTAAGTAATTATTTATTTATGAAATATAACAAAAACATATAAAATTAAGTGTTTCAGGAGAAAATATTTAAAAAATAGAAATTGTGGGAATATTTCCCCCAATTATAAAAAAAATTTTAAAAATAAAAGTAAAATGAAAGGAATAGAAAAGGAAAGTTACATATTTATTGTTTACATTACATTTGATATAACTGGTGGTGGATTGTTAGGATTTTTCGACAATGAACTAGTGTAAATATAAAAATGTGAATCAATTAATTGTTTTTTTATGATATTTTATTTCCCATATTAGTTTGAAAAGATATTTTTACATCCTACCCTGGTAGTCTCCTCCTTTTGGATACATTGATTTAACTTCATCTTCAAGCTTGAAGAAACTTAATGAACTTCTAAAAATAGAAAAAATATAAACAATTGCTGGTCTTAAACTGAAATATTAGATTTAACGAATTTTGACCTTTTCTTACTTGAAATTTGAAACATTAACATGCTGGGAAATGTTTTAATCCGAAAATGCTCAAGAATTGAAAGTTTGGAACTTTTGTGTTAGATACTCATAATTTCGATTGCATAATCTCGATATCCACAGTGAACACCTTTAATTCAATGATCTATAAAAACTTAAACTTATCTTCATTTTAGTTATTCCCCCACTGGTCAAATCTCTCTTTAACCCTTACTTTGGGACAATTACAATTCGGGATATCGAATAATGATTATAAGTAAAGATAAATCAAACATGGATCTGCAATACAAGAGTTCCAGTTCTGTTCACCTCAAAATGTTTCTTACTTGAATGCATTGTCTATAACATCTTGTGGAATTCCATGGTTTTTGATGTACGCAAATCCTACAAACAAAACAAAAATGCATAACAAGAATTTTCACAAGGAGTCTGCAAATGAATGCAGAAATAAAATGACTTTTAAATACACTCACATGGTTCCTTTAATGATTGAAATCCCTGTTTAGTGTTTACCTATGATATTTCAGTTAAGTGTTTACCTATGATATTTCAGTTTAGTGTTTACCTATGATATTTCAGTTTAGTGTTTATCTATGTGTTGGAATGCGTCTGATATTTCAGCACCAACATCTGCAACATCTTCTGGAGATATATCATCCCGGACCAGAGATATTTTCTCAACATCCAGAATCTTGAATAATTTATTTATTTAGATTTATATTAAAGGGGCTGAAAGCGTAATTTCAAGTAACTCTCCGACATGTCCATAGAAAGCATGATGCCTGATTCACAACGGTATACCCTTGAAACCTTTCTCTGATCAACGATATTGTCGAATTCCTGATAATTCCTACATGTTTCTCTGCAGTGAGAATGCGGTTAAGTCAGCTTAGTAGAGAAACTTCCATTACAAATAATCAGAATTTATTTCATACTTGATCAGACAACGCTTTAAAGAGTACTGTTGTGAATCGGGATTCGAATGGAGGGTCATTTGAAAATACGTTTACAGTCCCTTTAAATACCATCTTATGCTTTTCTTAACATTTCCGGAGCCCGTTGACGCCAGTTTCCAAATAATACAGAGACAGTGCAGTCTGTTTATGAGCTTGTATCCAATAAACGTGAAAACGGCTGAACCGATCGGGCCCAAATTGATAGGGAAACCAGATAAAAAAAAAATAAAGTTAATACTGCCAAGGAATATGTCTAACATATTAATATAACACGCTAAAGTAAAGGTATTTGACGTAATATTAAAATCTAATATGTTTTCAATCATCAAAGAGCAATTGAGGAGAACAGCAAATTTGAATTACTAATATTTAACCAATTAAATTTCCTTTTCTCATACAGTCGTCGTCGTATATATCAACACAATGAAGACGACTTTCTATTTTACCGCCGTTTCACCAACATTACCGGCCATATGATTTCCCCAACAGAGGGATGTTAAGTTACTCAACGTCCCTTGGGACAATTATAAATTTTTATAAACTGATTTATGTCAATTGTTGTCGTTTTTCCAAAATATTCTTATTTCTTTCGCGGTTGTTACCTGCATTTACAAAATCTTACGAAAACTATTTTTCTACAAAGAACCTGTCAAATTATTCGTTGGGATCTTTAGAAAGATGAAAATTTCCCTGTATGATAATTGAAGGACTGCAGTATGGTTTTGGTGAATTATATTGGCGTACAAAGCCTAGGGGTGTCAGAAATGATTTTTTTTGCAAATTTTTAAAAACTTCTATAAAACTTTTTAAGTTTAATTTTTGATAAAACTTTTTGTTCTGAATGATTGCAAATATCTATCGAAAACTTTCTTAAATTTTTAGATAGATATTTGTAATCATCCAGAACAAAAAGTTTTATCAAAATTAAACTTTTTTAGGTTTATTGGACGTTTTCAAAAAATGCAAAAAAAATCATTTCTGACACCCCTAGGCTTAGTACGTCAATATAATTCACCAAAGCCATACTGCAGTCCTTCAATTATCATACAGGGAAATTTTCATCTTTCTAAACATCCCAACGAATGATTTGACAGGTTCTTTAATATTTAAAAAACATATTTATTTCAAGATATATCAAATATTTAATTAGAAATCAAAATCATAATTCACCTTGATTGCTGACATTATTTCTGAAAAAAAAGTTTGACATTTTAATAGTTTTTTTGTTTTTATCTTGAAATAACGCCAAGAAGTTTTCTTTTATTTACTGCTATCTCTAACCTCTGCATTGCAAGAAATCGGTAACATGTTAATTTAAAGACAGAAAACCTTAGATTATATATATTCTAAATCTTAACAAAAGAGCTACAAAGCGCTTTGAATTAGGTGTATAAAATTCATATTTATATAAATATATTTTAATATTTATACAGTAGCACGACATTCTATATACACTTATATACATGACTCCGGTTTAGCTGAATCCTTTTATCAAGTTTATTTGTATAAGATGTAACATGTGATAATCAAATCTTTCTATATCTTTCTATCTAAGTATTAACCTATCTATCCATCTCTCTATGTATAGTTATCTAATCTATCTATAATATAGATATAGGTATCTATCTATCTATAAAATCTGTGTGCATCTATCTGTCTTTCTATCTTTCTATCTGTCTGTCTATCTATTTAATACCTATCAACTAAGTATCCATAATACTATAATTGTCAAATGTCGCGATTTTCAATTATCTGTAACCTATTAGTTATCAAGTCAAAAAATATAATAGTTTTTTATTTCAACGCTTTAGATGCTTTGACCGTGTATAGTAAAGCATCAAAAGTCTAATTTGAAAGCATCAAAATCTATCTATATATCTAATAATCTATCTATCGATCTATCGATCTATCTATCTATCTATCTATCTATCTATCTATCTATCTATCTATCTATCTATCTATCTATCTATCTATCTATCTATCTATCTATCTATCTATCTATCTATCTATCTATCTATCTATCTATCTATCTATCTATCTATCTATCTATCTATATTTCTTTCTATTTGTCTACTTTAAACTATCCCTCTATATTTCTAGCTTTCTATCTTAGATATTCAATTATCCAATATATAGTTGTCTAATAATTATGGTAGAATTTTTAAATAAGACGACATTTAATATATTCTCAGTAAACCATTGAGAGAATGGGAAAGTCAGGTAATCCTGGAATGCAGGAATTTTTAGGCTTTCCTTTTAATAAACAATTAATACCGGTACGCAGAACAGACAGTTAATAGTGAATACCATTCTTCGTTATTATAATTTTATTTACAGAGTTTTGTTTAACAATATTTTACATGCTATACGTAATTCGGATCCGTCATTTTGCACATTGTAAAAGAAATAAGTGACTTTTAGCAGAATAATAATTTTGAACAATTTATGTTTTACTTAAAATTATATTTTTTCTGCTATGTATTGTTTAAGCCAACAACTATTAAGGTTGTGTGTTTGTGTGTGTGTGTGNAATTCAAATATATTGATCAAATAGTGTTTTCAAGGGGGTGGGGAGGGAGGGGGGCAATAGTTCTCTTGCAAATTAGTTCCGTCAAACTATTAAGTTAAAAACAAGTGCTATATATAGTTTTGAATTTACATGTATATGGATACAACAAAAGTACAGGGTTGCCCATGATATTACTTTAAAGACGACCTGAATCTATTTAAATATGGCGATCCTAAGAGTAAATTAAATATCCTTCCTTTGTCGTCTATACAGTCTCATCTTTTGTGGGTAAGCCTGTAAATAGGTTTGGTAGGGATCGAGGTATAATCAAAGACCAGAGCGTTGCAACACATTAAATTCAACCGAGTCTTGAAAATTAATGCATTATATCAGCCTGGATCTAAATTTTCATATTGTTTTGAATTTTTCTTCAGATTTCTAATGTCGTTGTATTTTGACTGTGCCGTGAGCGGAGGGGGAGGGGCGGGTAATATTCACGTGTCAAGCACGTGGCACCCAAACCTACCTTATCTAGCGGTTGGGTCATACTCAGGAATATATATTCATTAATCAACTATTTAGATTTTAGTTTGTTTAGCCTGATATACAGTGAGAACCAGAGAACCTTTGAATATGAAGACGACATTGAAGCAATACTCCAGTAAATTTGATGCATTGATGTTGCAAAGCTAATAGTTTACTAATGTAACTTACAGAATCACTTATTAAGTTAAATGGTCTGTTTTTATTAAAAATATAAGTATTTCCTTTGTAAAATAATCATATAGCTTTAATGGTGTCTTTTTATTCCACAGTTTTCTGGTTCTGGCTGTTTCTATTGACGTTATTTGTTATAAATATGTGCAATTCAAAATACTTTTTCCAGCTAACTTTAATAAGGGTAATAATTGAATGTATTTTGTTGTTATAGTTTAGTTTTTGATTTGATTTTGTTAATGAATATATTGGTTGTATAGAGGAGAAAGGAGGATATGTTACAGTTTACACAGGTAATTTAAAAAAAAGAATATATAAGTTGTATAATTGTGCTACAGGGTGTCCCACGAAGCATGACAGAAGTTTTACATTTGATACGTCTTTGAGCTTTGAATTTATTTTAAACATTCAATCTTCATTCACAATCACATGTATGATTCTTGAAACAATAACTTGGGATTTCCAAAATGTGGTTTGTTTTTTTCTTGTGCTGTCAATATACCGGTAATATTAAAAGCACAAAAAGACAGACCACATTTTGGATCACTATAGGAGAGTTTTATAACTACTAACTCTAGAATTTTACTTTTAAGAGTGTTTACGGGTACTTTTATAAAAAATATTTTTAAATCATGTAAAGATACTTTTGCAGAGTTAATACCTGATAGTTTTTGATAATACCAAAACCAAGTACTTTGTAAAGTTGATTTTTTAAGGATACACAATCATATACGATATACCTGAAATATACAGAGTAGTAAGGAAGTTTACTTTCTCTTGAGTTTTTATTCTGTTTTTCAGAGATTAAAGCTGATGTTTTTTTTTTATAAATTAAACTTATACTGGTTTATATTTAAGAGTTGTTGTACGTTCTTTTGTTCAATTTTGGTGGAATTTATCACACCTAATATTTCCTGTTGTAGGGTGATTCTGCTCTTAAAATTTCAAATTTCATACCTAATTTGTCTCATTGTAGGGTGATAAAGTTACTTAATCACCCTACAACAGGACCCTACAACAGTGTGATTAAGTAACTTTATCGACCTGCTTTTAAATAATTTGAGTAAAATTGAATAAAACTATATATGTTATTGAAATGGGTATCATGCGTTTGATCAAAATAAAAGTATTTTCAGACCTCACTACGTTCGGTGTGAAAATACTTTCATTTTGATCTTAAACAAACTAGAAAAAATAAAAATCCCGGCAAAAACTTTTTCGCACTTAAATAATACCCATTACAATGACATAAATAGATATTTTGTTTATTTAGCGGAAATAAGAGTTGTTTACTTGTTAGAGTAATATGAGATGTTATTTAATATTTTAGATACGGGGGAGAAAGCTGATGGTATTAATCTTCCTGCACACCCCACTGCACAGGTCAGAAGGGGGGAGTGCAGCCCATGTACCCCCTCATTCTAAGGAGGGGGGTGAAATGCCCACGTACCCACTCTTTCCAGAGAGGTGGGCTGGTTACGGCCCATGTACCCCTTCATTCCGAGGAGGGGGGAGACAGTCCACGTACTCTCTCTTTCCAGGGAGGTGGGTATATGTACCCCCTCATTTCATGAAGTGCGGAGGGGGTGGGAGGGGTAACAAAATGTCTAATGTATATATGATCTTTATAAAGTTCTAAAAAAAAAACCTGCAGACCCTGCAGTAATTGTACTGTATGAACCCACTTCCTCTTGGAATCGAGGTTTCGTGAGATGAGTTGGCTGAGTGTCTATCTAAATATCTCATTGTTTTTAAACCTACAAAGCTTATAATGGTACTATTGGGAATCGGACATGCCTCGGTGTAGGGTCAATTAAAACTAAGCCTACAACCACTTTAAACATCAAACAGGATTATAATTTCAACATGTGAGCATAAAAAAGCATAAAGAACAGGATGTAACATCAATAGATATCCTCCCTTCCTTCCATTTCAGTAGAATTATTTCTAATTTGTTAAGGTTACCGCAGTAGCGTGGCATCCTACAAAGAAGGTTCTGGTAGTGGGCTGGGAAAACGGAGAACTTTTTCTTTTCTCAGGAAAAAAGAGCAGTTTGATAAATTTTTTAAGAACATTTTTCGGGTCAGGGAAAATTTTTTCTAATAATGCTGGGCGTATGCAGGTAAGGGCTAGCTGGGTATGATTCGCGGCCCTGCAATTTCCCACTGGACAAATTATTGAATGCGTTTGTTTTTAATTTTCAAAATGGTTTTTTCTATTCTTTAATCGCACATTATGATAATTATGCTGCGACTGTTTTTAATATTTTAAATATTTTTGGTTTAAATTTAAACAGTGATGTATATTTTTTCAGAATTATAATTTGATTAAATTGGACATAAAAAATGTTCATTCTTTCTTATACTTATTACCCTAAAGTTCATTGATTTCACTTGTGGGGAATAATGATTGATTCTTCTAGAAAATAAACATGAGTGAGAGTATACACTATACACCCCTGAATTTAAATAAAAGATTGCGAGATAGAGCTGAACCATTCATACCTCTTTAAAGGGAGTGTTCTCCTTTTTAGATACAAGGGTTGGAATTATTGCATTATATTTGGTCATTAATCGAAACTTAGATTACAATTTATAAAAGAAATATTGTTTTCTTAGATAAAGCAAAGACTCAGATATAAATAAATAAACACTAAAATATAGATTAAATTATATTATAAATTTATAGTGAATTTTTGAAACTGGTTTGTTTACTTGTACCTGAAACAATATAACAATCCCTTTAATTGAACTGATCCTTTTCTAAACACTTCTCTTGTTTGCTAGATCACAACAACTTGTGTATAGAGGTTCCAACTATTCATAATGCTGCAGGAGAATAACAACAAAATATTCAGAAAAAAACCCATTAAACCTTGGAATAGGACTGTTAGACTTATTTTATGATTTTAAATAATAAATTTAAAAAACAACAATATACACACTACAAGACTGTAAGAGCACTTTGTCCCCTCTTTCCCGTAAATAATTTTAGCTTTTAATTGTTCTGAAAGTTGGCTATTTTTGTTTTGAATTGGCGCATTTTTAAGAAAAAAAAACTTTTTCCATTTTTTTTATTTTGATGGTCCTTAAACCTTCTTTGGGGTTATTTGAGGTTCCACTAAAATTTGGTCCCAATCGTTTCAGCCGTTTCAACGTTTATATTATAAACATTTGAATTTATTGGTTGTGCCTGTAATGTTCATACTTTTAGGATGTACAGAGCGTCCCATATCATATTAGATTATCTCCAATCTTTAACGCTAAAATACGCACATAATAATCGAAAAATCTAGCATTTTCTGCAAAAAAAAATTTCTATTAGCCTAAATAAATTTTTTAAAATGATTCATTCTTCTTAAATTTTCTGATTTATCCCACAAATTGTAATTTAGACCCATTGACGCTGTCTAATTTGATGTGGGACACCCAGTACTTTACAAATATAAAAAGCGTGGGCTTAGATTTTAACCTAGCAAATTTATTGAATTGGTGTTTATCAAATGGATTTCTACAAAACTGTAGGTTTTCTTTTAACAATTTTTTCGCTATTTGAGTTCAAACCTTTTTCTGTCAATATCAAATAATCTACCCACTGGCTTCTTTATTTATTGAAAAAAAGTGTATACATTATACAAAGACAAAAGAAGTGGATGGGGGGGGGGGTCTACGAGCTTTCAACTAAAGAAATTAACTGTAGTTCCACGATTAAGTTGTTTTAATTTACTTAAAATCCAAATATTTTGAAATAAAATTATGTCAGTTTCCCTGCTTGTCTGGAGCAAAGGAGGAGCTAGACTGATCACAGGAGATTCAGCAGGTCACGTCAAAATAAAGTGTAGTAAACGGTCACGTCAAACTAAACTAAAATAAACGGTAACGTCAAACTAAAGTATAGTAAACGGTCACGTCAAAATAAAGTAAATTAAACGGTCACGTCAAACGAAAGTGAACAAAACGGTCACGTCAAAATAAAGTATAGTAAACGGTCACGTCAAACTAAAGTAAATTAAACGGTCTCGTCAAACTAAAGTAAACAAAACGGTCACGTCAAAATAAAGTAAATAAACGGTCACGTCAAACTAAAGTAAAATAAACGGTAACGTCAAACTAACGTAAAATAAACGGTAACGTCAAACTAAAGTAAACAAAACGGTCATGTAAAACTAGTGAATTAAACGGTCACGTCAAACTAAAGTAAACAAAACGGTCACGTCAAACTAAAGTAATTTAAACGGTCACGTCAAACTAAAGTATAGTAAACGGTCACGTCAAACTAAAGTGTAGTAAACGGTCACGTCAAACTAAAGTAAACAAACGGTCACGTCAAACTAAAGTAAGCAAAACGGTCACGTAAAACTAAAGTAAAATAAACGGTCACGTCAAACTAAAGTATATTAAATGAAAGATTGAAATCTCACATATTTTCAATCATAACTGGCCGCTCATGAAAGAGATGTTGAGTAAAACGAATCAGTTTAGAAATTTTTATTCGTAACAAATAAATTTGGTTTTTTGATTCTTGGGTATAAAATCAAAACAGATGAGCTTCGAGGTCACAACGTCGTACCAGTGATGTCGCTTAAATTTGATCTTTATCTTTTAGCTTGTTGTAGCAAACTTTAAAACAAAATAAAAACTTTGTGTTGTAAAAAAACCTTTATATTTTATATTAGAAATATACAGGTTTCATCAAACTTGGATTGGCTACTAGATCTAAACATTTTAATCTCAAATCTAATTTTTATTTTTTTTAATCGAATTTTACTTTTAAATTTCGAAAAAGATCTTTTTACATTGAAGAATGTTGCCGACACAAAGTTGTTTTAGAACTACAGCGTGTTTCCGTCTATAGCTTCGAGTCAAAAGAAAAAATTGGCAAAATATTTTTTTTTTCTGCGGGAAAGAGAGAGCCTATTTTGGTTTAAAGGGATTGATAAGCGTTATATCACGTGAACATTCATGCAAATACGATCTTTGGTAATGCTCGATTTTCAACGGTATAACCCTTGAAAACTTAAACTGATTAAAAATGTGAAAGATATCGTCGGCTTTTTTCTAACTCGAAAAGTGTTTACTTCTGTGAGTTTCTCCATTGCCTCTAAAGCAAGGAATGCGCAACTGCAAGTCTCTTTCGCCGAAAAAACGCAAATGAGAATAAACAGTTTAAAGAAACAAAAACATTGATATCTAATTCATACTGTACCAGACAAAGCTATCAAGGGTACCGTTGTAAATCGGGCATTGCCATCTCTGCATGCAGGGTCACTTGAAATTACGCTTACAGTCCCTTTAAATTTATGATTTGTTCAGGCTCTGTAGTAGGCTGGGCCTTTGATAGATCCGGTCAACTTAATACAGTGTTTCATCATGAACTGAAAGATCCGATATCACAAATAATATTCAGGTATCTTTTCTTCATTTTGTCTTTTTTATCAAAATGTTCAATCATAATAGGTTAGGGGTTGCCGGCAAGTCATTGCTTTGGAGACATCAATGCCTTTCGTTCAAGTGTAGCATTTTAGATTCCCAATTCGTTACCTTTCCACTTCGTTTAAGTGTAGCATTTTAGATTCCCAATTCGTTACCCTTCCACTTCGTTTATGTGTAGCATTTTAGATTCCCAATTTGTTACCCTTCCACTTCGTTTAAGTGTAGCATTTTAGATTCCCAATTCGTTACACTTCCACTTCGTTTAAGTGTAGTATTTTAGATTCCCAATTCGTTACCTTTAAACTTCGTGTAAGTGTAGCATTTTAGATTCTCAATTCGTTACCCTTCCACTTCGTTTAAGTGTAGCATTTTAGATTCCCAATTCGTTACCTTTCCACTCATTGTTATAAAGTAAATAAGGGTATCGTTGTGAATCCCTTTAGTAGCGGAGGGTTCTTTAAAGATATGCCTAGATAAATAGACCGCTGTGAATTGTTCATGGCATTTTGAATCTCCCTTCAGTTTCTCGACTGAACCTAGAGATTTGCTGTCGTAGAAAACAGAGCTGCCAAAATAAATCATGAAAGTGTTTTTTTACTTAAAGGGAGTGTTCGCGACAAATGAATGGGGGTATAGGCTTAATGCGATAAAAAGACGCTTTTGATCGCTAATAATCTTACTTCTATCTGTTGCGTCTATAAGGAGAAAATTGTTGAAAACGACAAATACCGAAGAACGTAGTGTCCATACAAATTCAGAAAGATGCAACATACGACTTAGACCGTAAAAAAATCTATTTAATTTCAAACAAATCATTCAAATATTACAACCTATAGTCATCGATTATCTTTTGCCACATTTGTATATATAGTTGATTTTTCATAATATTTTTTAATTGTTATGATCTGAGAGTTCCTTATAAAAACATTTATTCCTGTTTCGAGGATTTTTGGTAATGAAGACGACATTTTAAAATTTTGAAGGAATGTTCGAAAACAAGTTGTAAGCTAAATAAAATAAAAAAAAATAAAATCAACACTCCCTTTAAGGGTACGTGTATATTTTTTAGGCTTTTATTTGCTGACTAGGGGATAATGAATTATATTTTAGTTAAAAATTTATAAATTTTTGAATAAAAAGTATATTAAAGAATGGAATAACCCATGGTATTTTGATTTTACTTTAATTTACACATAGAAACACTTACGAGCGCACTGGAGAGCTTGACATGAGTGGATTGGCGCGCGCAGCTGTCGAAGGAGATGAACGCGCGCTTGATCTTTTTTCTTCATGGAGACCCAAGGTTGTGTATTCCTAACTTTCTAATTCTTAAAAATTTATTTTTAATTTGTTAATGTTTGCTTTTAGACTGGTAGAAGAGGAGGGTATGGACTGGAGGAGAAAAAAGAAAATCTAAACTTTTATGTTGGATCGATGACAGGTTAGCAAAATTGGATTTTTCTAGGAGTTTGGAGCATCGGAGGGATCACAGGGAATTGGAGGAACCCAAGGGAGTTGGAGGCATTCTCAAGGTTTGGAAGGATCACAAGTGTTTTTAGGAATCCCGGGTTAAAAGTTCACAGGATCCCAGGGGTTCGGAGGGATCCAATGCGTTCGGAGGGATTCCAGGGGACTGGAAAGATTTTCTTGCAGTTTACCGGGATCTCAGGTTCGGAAGGATCTCGTGGTTTGGACAGAACCATTGTGCTTAGTTGGGATAAAATAAGTTTAAAGGGGTTCCCCTTGAAGTTTTCGAGCAGATATCTCGTCGGTAAGGAGTGACATGTTTTATAACCCATTCCTCTTCCGACTGAACCGAATGCTGTGTGAGTGTAAGAACTCCCAAGGGATGGATTAAGGGAAATAAAAAAAATTCCCTGAAAAAAATGTCGTCCTCAGCAATTTTCAAAAAACCCGCCAAATCAAACAGAAAAAATTGCGAACATTTTGGGTTAAAGGAGTAAAAAAATGGCGACACAAACCAATACATTTAAACTCATACAATATTCAGTGTGACCACAAAAAATACTTGTTTTGTTTGTATGCAAAATTTGGTATATTTCCAGGTGTTATATACTACTTGAATGAGAATGGAAGCTGCATGGAAGTCCTACAGGCAGATGGAGCTATCAGGTAATAACATAGTGAAAGAAAATTTAAAAATTGTCTTGCACAACTCTTTTACTACTCAAAGCTTAGAATTAAACCAAATCTGACTAAATTGCTACATCAGACAATGTTAAATCTTTTTTTTTGTTCCTATGATTTATATCAGAAATGTAATGCGGTGATCACCAGAAAACTGTAGAATATGAAGACGACATTACAGCAATGCTAAAGAGTATTTGATGTTGTTACAAAGCAAATAGCTTTACTAGTAAGTTATTAAATTACTAAGTATGAAAAATAGGTCTGTTTACATAGGAAAATTACTGTGCCTCATGTTCATTGGCCTGTTTAAAGTCATAACTTGAGTCTAAGAGTCGACTGTCTATTTCAGAGTTTTCTGTTCATCACTGTAAAGCTTTTAGAAATAGTTCTGATACTTTAAGGTGCAGATATTTTTCAATTTTAACTCTGAATAGTGCTATAAGTTTTCAAAAATCTAAAATATCGGTTGTCAAATCACTTTCTAGTGTAATTCATTAAAAGTATATTTAAAATAGTATATCAAGAAGATATTATATATAGTTCCTGAAATATGTCAAAATTTTCATTTTTTTTTGCTGAAATTATTATCTTGAGACAATCAGGAAATACGAAAAAATATTCCTCTGCTCATGGTTGTAGAATATGTAGATATATTCTTTAATATTGCATTTTGCTAGATTACCAAATAGTATATGATGTATAAATACACCTTGGGGATTTATTAATGAGAAAAAAATAACTCTTTCAGAAAACATTTTCTTTGCAACATTCATTCATGCTAAAAATGTAAAAACATTGTGGGTTGTGGCCAGTCAAAATAAAAAAAATGTTGCCGCAAAAAAAATTCGACTTTGTTTGACTTTGGAAAATCCATAACAGTAAATAGAAAATCGGCGGTTTTATGATGTACGAAGAACAAGTTCGCTTGAAAAAATGACATAAAAGCCTAGTATGTAACAATTTCCAAGTTGGTAAACAAAACCGTGTAATAACACTTTTTTTGACGTCGCTTTTTTTCTTGATCTAATCATAATTCAAATATCTTTATTCTTCATAAATATTGACTACAGGGATGCCATTTTTTACAAATAAATCATTGACAAGTTCATGAACTCGTCCAGTGTCCAACCATCTTACCGTCGTAGTAACCTAAAAAAAACAAGATAGAAAAAACAGAATGAGTTGCTAAAAAATGGATTTATCTGCATCAGAACAAATCTATTTATAAAACAAAATACGGGAATGCACCAGACAATATTGTTGTCTCATTATTAGGGCTGGCCATCGTTTTATGGAATGATGGCTTTTTCATGGGAACGAACGGAACGAACGATTTCTAAAAAGTAGGAACACGCCCATCTCAAGGGCTGAGCGTTATTCTTTCGCGGTAACCAACTGAGCGGAACGGAACGAACGATAAAAAAGTATGAAAAAACTTGAAAATGAAATCAACAACAACAAAAAAGCTTGAGAAAAGTAAAATGGTCATAAAACCGGTTTTTACCTTATGACCCCATGGTAGGTATTGATAACCAACAGATTCCATATATTCTATAATATCCTCCCTTGATCCTTCACTTCTCTCCCCTAAACACGGATTCCATATATTCCATAATATCCTCCCTTGATCCTTCACTTCTCTCCCCTAAACACGGATTCCATAATATCCTCCCTTGATCCTTCACTTCTCTCCCCTAAACACGGATTCCATATATTCTATTATATCCTCCCTTGATCCTTCACTTCTCTCCCCTAAACATGGATTCCATATATTCTATAATATCCTCCCTTGATCCTTCACTTCTCTCCGCTAAACACGGATTCCATATATTCTTTTATATCCTCCCTTGATCCTTCACTTCTCTCCCCTAAACATGGATTCCATATATTCTATAATGGCCTCCCTTGATCCTTCACTTCTCTACCCTAAACATGGATTCCATTGTTTAAACATTTTTAAAAAATCCCAAAAATGTCTGAAATTTTTTTAATTAGCATTAATCAGAGTTGCCTAATGCAAAATTGATTGAAATGCCTTTATTAATAAAATTTTAAACCTGCAAAATGTGTTTCAATGCTGAAAACTTGAATATCAACCTAATATAAAAATTATGATGAAAACAGGGTGAAGGTAGTCGGTTGTTATTCAATTTAATTGATTTCATTTTCTGTAAAATAATTTTAAAATCATTTTAAAACAGGTAAAATCAAAAAAATGTCAAATTTTGTTGGAGCACCGGAGACAAATTCAACTTATAAGCATCTAACAAAATTTGACGAATGATGCTACTAAGTTGAATTTAGCTCTGGTGCTCCAACAAATTTTGTTGGATGAAAATTTGACATTTCTTAGAGTGTAGGTCTTTTAAAGTTTTTTTTATATCTTAAACATCTTATTTAGTGCAATTCAATATTCTTAAAGGAAATGAGAATGTTAAGTTTCTAATCAAGTTCCCCCCCCTTCCCATAGTCGATATTTGGGCCTTTTAATTTTTAATTTTTAATTTTTAATTTTGATTATACCTTGTCCCAGGGGATTGTTTTTAGAACTTGAAACTCTCCACCTTCAATATCCAAACTGAAAATATCCAAACTGAAAATATCCAAACTGAAAATATCCAAACGGAAAATATCCAAGACAAAACTTCAAGTGACTCCCCGATTCACAACAGTATCTTTTACACATTTATTTTAGTAACAATTAGATAAATATTATAGAATTTTATCTTTATAAAGTGTTGTATTCTGACAGTTTCCGTCTTTGTAGAACAAATAGGATATTTGAATTATTTTTAACGAGGCAAAGGTTTAAATGGTAGCATTCTGAATCTGGTATGCAACTCTTGAAATAAAGGTTTTCTTGATGTTTAGGGAATATAGTCTCTTCAAGAAAAAGATAAAGAAAAGAGAGAAATTAATCATTAAACAAACAAGAAAATCGCGGCAAAATTATAAATTTACCTAAAATAGTTAACTGTTGGGTTACCAAGAGCCTGTAAGATAGAGTAGAGAGGAAAGCATTGAAATTTAGGATGCTCTGCACCCTCATTCTTTAGCATTAAACCAGCGTAGGTCAGGCTAAAACAAGGCATAGATAATCATAGATACCACTGTTCAAAATTAAAGTGAATTTAAAATATTTTTTGATAATATAACATTTAAGATTAAATACTACGAATACTCAAAGAATAAGACTTTATTAAAAACTTTAACCTATTAATTTAATAAGATTTAGCAGCTGAACTTCGTTTTATAATAAGTGCACCGTTTATATTTTAAAATACTAATTGATTTAGCAAAGAACAAATTTAGTAAGAAAGTAAGAAAAAAAAGAAAAATTCCGTACAATCGTCTCTAAAGTGATATGTATAAACAGTTTACCTGTATTCCGTACAATCGTCTCTAAAGTGATATGTATAAACAATTTACCTGTATTCCGTAGAATCGTCTCTAAAGTGATATTATAAACAATTTACCTGTATTCCGTACAATCGTCTCTAAAGTGATATTATAAACAATTTACCTGTATTCCGTAGAATCGTCTCTAAAGTGATATGTATAAACAATTTACCTGTAGGGTAGAGTTGAAACCCTTGAGAGTGGTGAAAGACAAGTATTTATACTGAACAATCACATTTCAATCAAAAACAATCATATTTAAAGGGATTGCATGAGTCTTATATCAAATGACCCTTCATAAAAAGATGAAAATGCCCGATTCACAACAGTACCCTTAAAGGGAGTGACCGTCAATGTATGGTGGTTGAATTGAATATCTAGTAAAGTGGACAAATTTTTTAGGATTCATTTAAGACATATAAAACGTTTCTACCGAGTTTAAGTGCAAAGTCTACAATCAAAATCATGAATTTGTGTGGGTACTTTTTAGATCGTTTTTTTTAATTATTAAATAACGGCGACAGATAAATGTAAACCAAATTCTACAGTAAACTAATTGGTATCATCGAAAATAAGTAATCATATTTAATTATTAGTTTCTATAATCTCTTATTTTTAACAAAGATCTTCTGTAGATTTTCTTAAATTGTTATTGAAAAGACGACATTTGAAGCATTAGTAGAAATCTGCAAACAAATTCATAGAAAATAAGAAATTCAATATAATGATGAAACCTAAATAACTGATACTGACATTGATTAATTGACAAATTTATTTGCAGAAATATGTTCCTAATTAAAGATCTAATTAGTTTACTGTATATAATTTTTCGTCGTCGTTATTCAATAATTCAAAAAAAAACGATTCTGAAAACGTACCCACCCAAATTCATGATTTTGAACGTCGATTTTGATTAGATATTTGGTTTCAAGGGTACCGTTGTGTATCGTACATTACCATCTTTGAATGGGAGTCAATTGAATTTGCACTTATAAAGTTACAATCGCTGTAAGCTAAAAACTGAAGCTCTTTTCTTAAAGTGACATGTTTTGAAATGAAAAGTCAATAAAAATTAAATCAATTTTTACTTTTCTTGGAATTGCTTACAGAAACAGTTTTAAGTTTAATCTCGTGCAGGGAAGGAAACAAAAAACTTAAATCAATATTTTCTAGAAAAATATACAATAAATCAGTTAATTGAATAAAATTCCTAAAGGATTTTCTATTTTTTGCTATTCCTTCTTTAAAATGTCGAGGATGTGGTTCAACTAAAAGACCCTAAAACATGAAAAATAAACGGATTTAATTCAAATCGTTGTCAATGATATGCAAGCATTTTTTAAAAAACCCCAAGAAAAAATATAATATGTGTAATATAATATTTGGGGATAATGCAAAAATTTTAAATAAAAGTTTAATAAATGTTTTCAGAATTTTATTAATTACTTTTTTACTTACTTTTTTCTTTTTACTTAACCTCAGAAATTATTTGTAAGTTTTTTTTTATTGGGTTTAAAAAAGTCGGAATGTTTAACGAAAAGATCAACAAAATGTTATTTGAAAAAAATAACAGATTAAAAATCAATATTATTAAAAGATTTATATCAATTTTATTTAAAATTTTTGAGTTGGTCCCCATTTTCTTGGATATTTTATGCTAATCTCAGTTTCGAAATCCAATTTTGAAAAAATAATACTTTAAAAATTATTATTAAATTTTAAAAAATATTTTAATTTAGTTTTTAAACTTAATTGAATTCAGTGGTCAGTTAGCGGTTTTTTATGTCCAACATGAAGTGTGTACGGCATGTATATCCTACCGTCCAGCCATGGTTCAATTCAAAATATAGAGAATCAGAATGTCCTTCAAAGTTGTTTGCTCCAGCTTCGATAAAGAATCCATCTGAAATCAAAAAATGACATGTTGGGATGGGAGTAGGGGGGGGGGGAGGTAAGGGAATGGGTAAACTTCTTGGTAAAGGGGACAGTGCTTGGTCATGGTGCTAGTACTGTGCATTGAAGAAAAGTGCAGGACTTAGTGCTGTGTATTTATTCTGAAAATGTTCTCCATTGCTTTGCAGCATACGGGTCAGTCATATCTTTATAGGGTACCGTTGTGACTAAGACATGACATGAGGGTAACATGAAATTACGTCTACAGTTCCTTTTGATGTCAAAAGTTTAGTCCTTTTGTTACTTATCTTAATCTTTTCTATATCTATATTATATCTAATATCTACATCTATTTTCTTTTTCTATATCTTTGCAACCCAATTTCTTATCCCTTAGCCATGTCAAAAAATGAATTTTGTTACATCAAATAATCAATCAAATAAGTATAATATATCAAAAGTGTTCACCATTAGGTTGCAAAGATATAGAAAATTACCTTTAAGTTTTCCCTGGAAAACAATTCTATCCACCTCATAGGGAACTTGTTCATGGGCTCTAGAATATAATTTATATACAGGGTGTCTCATTAAACATGGGTTCTAGAATATCATTTATATACAGGGTGTCTCATTAAACATGGGTTCTAGAATATCATTTATATACAGAGTGTCTCATTAAACATGGGTTCTATAATACAATTTTTATATAGGATGTCCCATCAAACATGGGTTCTAGAATACAATTTATATACAGGGTGTCTCATTAAACATTGGTTCTAGAATATAATTTATATACATGGTGTCCCATCAAACATGGGTTCTAGAATACAATTTATATACAGGGTGTCTCATTAAACATGGGTTCTAGAATATCATTTATATACAGAGTGTCTCATTAAACATGGGTTCTAGAATACAATTTTTATATAGGGTGTCCCATCAAACATGGGTTCTAGAATACAATTTTTATACAGGGTGTCTCATTAAACATGGGTTCTATAATACAATTTTTATACTTGGTGTCCCTTCAAACATGGGTTCTAGAATACAATTTATATACAGGGTGTCTCATTAAACATGGGTTCTAGAATACAATTTTTATATGGGGTGTCTCATTAAACATGGGTTCTAGAATACGATTTTTATACAGGGTGTCTCATTAAACATGGGTTCTAGAATAACATTTATATACATGGTGTCACATCAAACATGGGTTCTAGAATACAATTTATATACAGGGAGTCTCATTAAACATGGGTTCTAGAATACAATTTATATACATGGTGTCCCATCAAACATGGGTTCTAGAATACAATTTATATACAGGGAGTCTCATTAAACATGGGTTCTAGAATACAATTTATAAAACATGGGTTCTAGAATACAATTTATATACATGGTGTCCCATCAAACATGGGTTCTAGAATACAAGTTATATACATGGTGTCCCATCAAACATGGGTTCTATAAGAATACAGTTTATATAAAGGGTGTCTCATTAAACATGGGTTCTAAAATACAATTCATATAAAGGGTGTCCCATCAGCTGTTTTGACGTTTATCGGTAACAAACAAACAAGCAAACACCCAGACAAGCAAAGTGTATAAATAGATGCATACTTTAAATGCTCCTCTATAGGTTTATCCAGGTTTTATTCTTCTACGGATGGTTCTTGTAACAATCTCTTTCTAAAATGTTAACAATGGTTAAAAACACAATACAGTAGTAGGCTATTTTATCAATACAGTGAAGACGACTTTCGGTTACAATTGAGATTTTTATCAAGCTTTTAAACAACCCGGATACACAAAAGCACGGAAACAAAGATAACCTGTCGACTAACAAAGAGAACCTGTCAACTAACAAAGAGAACCTGTCGACTAAGAAAACTTTTCTTTGATTACATGTAAACTTGTAATTCGATAAAAGCGCTTCATTAAGTATTGATATAATCGCCTAAAACTGCAGGTTTTATAGTTTTAAATAAAAAAACATTTACTACTCTACAAAGTGGATTTTCTCCGTAATCTCTCTTCTTTTTATTTTTTCTTCAAAGTGTAAAACTCCAAATTGTGCGGGTTTTTTTTCTCCTAGTACTAATGGAAATTTAACATCCTAAAAGAATCATAACTTTTTTCGACAAAAACCTTCCCTGGGTCATGTCACACAAAAATTACAAAACAAGCTAAATTTAAAAATCGATAAACATCAATATTATGTATATAAAAAGCATTGGCTTGTCCTCTTTAGTTGCATAATGTATGCAATACAGCTATATAATAAAACAAAACATTTATATACATGTTGCGTATAGCCGGCCAAACGGCTGGACCAATTGGGCTGACATTTTTTGTGGCCAGGGAGTGTTACAGGCGATACAAAAATTCGACATTTTTTTCTTCATTTTTTTCCACGGGCAACGCCGGACCCATCAGCTAGTTATTAATAAAAGACATGTTTATTGTATTGATAAAATAGGTGAGGAAAAAGACTAAATCGTTTTATTTTAATATTACCTAATAACATCAGCTAGCTGAGGACTGTCTTGTTGTAGGCAAGATAACAAAGGTAAAAATTCGATTTTAAATATTTCATTTTCAGATCCTAAAAAAAACACTTTTTTACTGTACATTCTGTTGTATACATAACGCATAGTGTTGCACTGCAGTTAATAATGTGGGCGTTGGAAAAAGTTTTCCTTAAGCAGTCCCCCCCCCCCTGTCAAAATTGGTTGAGATCCCCTTATACTTAAAAACTGTCAGCGTAATTTCAAGTGACCCTCCGGTCCGTGCAAAAATGGTAATGCCCGATTTACAACGGCATCCTTGAATCCTTAAAAATTAAAAATAAATTTGAAAATAATGTCGTCTTCCTGAAAAGTGTTTAATTCTCGATTGATGCTTATGTAAGAAATGCGCAACTCACTTTTGCAGAGAAACCACAATTGAAAAAACAGTTTTTCAAACATAAAATCATGAATATCGAATTTATAATGAGCTTAATCTGATTATCCAATGTACACACTTTTGTTTTTCTTCTTATAATCCTCTTTTTGGATATTTCTACTGTAAAAAAGTTACATTTGATAACAATTACAAAAACAATGCTATATCGCATGGATTAATATTCGATTAAATTAAAGTCAGATGTTCACAATCAAAAGCCCGTTTTTAGAGCATTCAAACAAATATAAATTTAATTATGCTAAAATGAAATTATTAAAAAACATATTTCAGGACTATTGTCATTTTGAACGTTAGTCTTAATAAACATTAATCCAAAACTTACGTTCTTTCAAACGATGCTTAGTTCAATTGATATGACACCATCAACACCAGAAATCAAACCGGGTTTTAAAAAGTTAAAGAGTACATCTTTACTTGACACACTGATTGGTTACATTTTTAACTTCTTTCTTGGATATCGAATTCGTTTTAAAATAGTCTTGGGTTTAGTAAAACCAGGAGTTTAAGCATTAATCTTGATATCCATTATTCTAAAGTTTTCAGCTCAGACAAAGCTTTTTTGGATACCGTTGTAAACCGGGCATTGCCATCTTTGCCATCACTTGAAACTACAATTACAGTCCCTTTAAACTTTTAATGTTTACCTTCAGAATGATCGAACTGTGTACCTTCAACATGCAGTTCCCAAACTAAAAAAAATAAGAATTGTAGCTTGAATCATTAGGGTTAAATCGGGTTAAGCTTTTATGGTTCCATTAAACCCAGTTTGAGAACATTTAGTAAATTCTTGAATTGAACACAGTTCTGAACGTTTAGTCGTTTGTATCCAATAAACGTAAAACGACCCTGAACCGATCGGGCCTCACATTTTTTGGGACAACTGACATGACGGTCACATTTGTAAATTTGCCGTTCAAAAATGTCAATATTCGTTATTTTAAAAAATTATCAAAAATTCAGTTTTATAGTTGAAGTGAAACGGAAGCAAATCAAACTAATAACAAAACCGAGTTCGGAAACTTTGTGTTGCTAACGCTTAGTCTCGATATTCAATATAAGGGCACTTTTAAAGTCGAGGATCAATTTTTAATTTCTCAATTAAAGTTATCCCAGAATTAACCATCACGAGATAGCGAAGAGAAGTAATTATAAGATTGAGCTGTGATTCATGCTTGATCATCACAAAAATTCTGATTTCAGGCAAAAACTTGTCTAACAAAAAATTATTAAAAATCTAAAAATCTATTTTACCTACAGAATATTCAAATTTTATCGGATGAGTTGAGTTCTCGTCATCTTTCCAAGCTCTAAAATCAACATACGGTCGTCGGCGTTTATATCAATACAATGAAGACTACTTTTTTATTTAAGTTTTAATTTCAAATAAGCTTTTTTTCAAATTACAAGTTTACAAATGAACAAAGAGAAGCTGTTACTTGACAATTTCTCTTTTTTTAAATGTTTATGCGTATCCACTATCCGTGATGCTTAAAAGGTTAGTAGAAATAAAAAATAATAAACAAATGTCGTCTTCATTGTATTTACATAACCTCCTACCACTGTATGTTATTTCCAAACCAAATAAATTGGGAGTCTTTGCCAAAAACTAAAATTTTCTAATCCCTTTATCTTTTCAACGTATTGGAGTAAATCCTTGCTATTTCAAACTTAAATTATTTGATCTAATATTGCATCCATTACAAAATCAGAGTTTGAGGCAAATACTCATTTTCTATGTTTGTCCAAATTTATTTTAGAATTTATAAGAATTTAACCTTGGTAGTCCAACTTTTCTGAAACAATTTTAACATTAAAAGAGAAGTACAGGGTTTCCCACAAAGGATGAGACTTCAGAGACGATTGTACGGAATTTGTTTAATACATTTCCTTACATTCAGGGTTCTATGTAGGCCAAAACTGGCTTATTTTTGTGCTTAATCATTTTGTAAACCATCAAAATACTTAATTAAGTGCAGAAACCAAAATGCAATTGCTTCAAATCGTCATATTTTTAAATTTTATGTCGTCTTTACAGTCTCATCCTTTGTGGCTAACCCTGTACAATAAAATAAAGTCAAAATAAGTGAGTTTTACATGATAAAGGTTCTCAGGATACTGATTCAGTCTTATTTAGTGCAGTTTAAAAATATTGTAACAATATTTGAATAATCTACAAATCAAAACTTTTTTAATGTTAAATTTTCCTGATGCTTTCTTCACATTCTGGGTTGTAATTAATATGGCACTCAACACCCGCTATCACGATTATCATTAATAATATTTTCTTAAGCAAAATCATTCTAAAAAAACAAACAAATTAGATTACAGGCGTTTTCCAAGTAATTGATTTGATTTTATTGATACAAAGCTGTAAGGGCGCCTCGCAACCCTCTTCTAGTAAAATTTTTAGAATTTAAATGTTGCTTTCACGCCGCCTTTTTTCTTCGTAATTGTATAACACAAAGTTTTGCGGATTTTTCTGTTCTCATGTAGAGTTTTCTAGAAAAAAATCGACAATTTTGGGCCCGATCGGTTTAGCCTTTCTTAAAATTTATTGGACATTAACTGCACCCACCCTGATAGATATACAAACAAAGTATATGTCTACATAAATATAGAGATCCTTGTTTGAAATCTAATTGATAATTTTCATATGAATTAAAGTTAGTTGCACATTTACTATGAGGGAAAGACTTCCTCATTTTTATACTAAGATAAAGGGTTAAAAGTCCAGTAGTATAACATCTTATTTATCAACTAAGTTGCATCACTTTTAGTTTTAGTCTTGATTAGTTTTTTTATGTGTACGAGTATACACGGACATAAACAAAAAAAAGATTGTTTATATCGCATCTTTTCCACAGATCCACTGCATTCATATATTGGAAATTTACTTAGTGTCATATTTTTTTTATAAAATATTTCAATTTATCCTCTAATTTCAGTGCTGTATACCTTCCGATTATATACACAAACTTAAGTATTTGGGCCCGAAAAAGTTAATTTTTAAGCAAAGTTATGTTAATAATAAGTGAATGGTAAGCTTTAACGATGGTTAATAACATAACTAGGTGTACCTCGCCATGAATGGTTGACATTGCACAAAAAATGAATATGTGAAAATACATTTTTTAATTTAGAAATAGTCTGAAGATTAGTAATTAATTCAGTAAAAAACCCAGCTTCAGAAGAATGGGTTAAACTTAGGGTGGGCAGGTTCTTCAAGAACACACCTAGCCCTATGAATTGTGATATTATTCTTCTTAGACGTAAAAAAACACCAAGTTGATTATGCAAAAATATCTACGTTGTTTTTTTTAGTTTTAAATAGATGCAGGGTGTCCCACGAAACATGCCAGGTGTGAGACAACTTGAAGTTCGTCTCTGACAATGAATGTAAGGCAAGGAAAGTCAATTGCTGTTTTGTATACTTTGTGTACATATTGAAACCAGTTCTATTTGGGGGATTTTATAAACAATAATCGCGAAACTGTAGTACACAATTTAGCCATGTCATTCAATTATTTTTTATGAGTCCATTTACCTTTCAACATTTATATCTACTAACTTGGAAACCCAGCTTTACCTGGAGCCTAAACTTTTTCTATAAAATTAAACCTATACATATTAATGTAGGTTTATTTAGCCATGCTTAACGCATTCCTGTCCAGTAGTTCAAGAGTTATGATTGGACATCAAAACAGACAAACAGAAATTACAACATTATATTTAGAGATAGTAGATAATTAAAAAGAATAATGCAGTCTTTGCCACAAACTCTGATTTTCTAATTTCTATACCCTTGCAACCTAATGTCTTAGGCCTTAGATATGTCAAATTATGTTTTTTGTTAGATCAATTGATCTAAGTTTGAAATAAGTTTTACACCATCATGTTGCAAAATTATAATTCTTTTGTGAGAAATCTCTAACGTTATAAGCAAAAAATTCGAAATACTTTCAACATGTTAGATATTATAAACAACCCACACTGCAGATGCGAGGAGGAGAAACTAAGTGTAAAAACTGCCAAGTCATGGCCTCATTGGTATATATGTCCGTGAAACAGGATTGAATATCGAGGTACTCCCAAGTGACTTTTAATTTTTAGAGATAGCGGTATGTCTGATTCACACCGGTACCATTTAAACCTTTTTTTATTCGCAAGTCACTTTAATAGAAAAACGAGGGTTTCAAGGGTACTGTTGTGAATCAGACACGACACTTAAAAATGGGTGGCATCTTGAAGATACGTTATTAATCACCATATAAACTAAGCTTTCGGCGCTTGCTTCCGAAACAAAATGAATAAAACTAAAAATTAGTGGGGTTTTGTGGAGAGTACGGTCATCGGATTAAAAAATATTTTTTTTATAAAATATATTTTTTTAAACTTATTGAATCTAGAAATCTCCTTCCTGTATTGTGGATATGACAGATAATGAAAAGGTATGAAAATATTTCTAGTCAAATTTTTAGTAAGTTCTATTTATGGACTAAATTTATGGACTAAAATTACGGACTAAATTTATGGACTAAATTTATGGACTAAATTTATGGATGAAATTGTCTCTTAAGATTACAACAATTGTCCCTTAACAATTAAAAAATGCATTGTTATTAGGGTTTCCACGAAACGAGCATGTATTGTTGCGCTAAATTTGAGTAATTTTTGCGCACAAATATTTTTTGCAAACTTTTGCACATCTTTTGTGCATAAAGCGCATTATATTTTTGTGCGTTTTTTGGGGTAATTTGAGAAAAACGTACATTTTTACTTAAAACATGATAATTTTAAGCAACTTGATCAAAATTGATAGTTTCAGCACAGAAACAAACAACTAAAGGGTTATTCAACACTTTACAAACAATATCATGATATTCGACTCTAAATTGGTTACGTTTAGTTAGAAAAGGTCAAATTGAGGAACAAAAATTAATGAAATACTAATTGAAAATTGATGCATAGTTCTTTTTTAGATGTCAGAATCGTTGAGTGGTGGCAACCTTTGATATATGAAATGTTGACTACTTCTATTCTAATGTATATGATTGAAATATTAAAATATACAGCCTCAAATTTAAAGTATCGTGACGCCTTTGGTTTTNAAAGTTTTTTTTAATTTTGATAATTTATGTTATAAATTCCTATGACCAGAATAAATCATTGATTTTTTATTTGAAAGATGGATCCCATGTCAGGCTGTGACACCCCTACTCTTGTGTTTATATTTGAACCCAAAGACAGTACACTGCAGTACAAAAAATGCGTACACCACTGAAATGACTTTCCTTGCCTTACATTCATTGGTCTCTGATATTTAAAATTTTTAATATTTACGGTAATTTTTAAAGCATAAAAAAGGCAGACTACACTTTGAAAATGCAATACCTAGGCTAGGGGTATTTTAAGACTCTAACATATAAAAGTAGATTGACAAATTAAAGCCACAAATTATTTCAAAGATCAAAGACGACCTTGAAGTCATGTTGCGTGGGACTCCCTGTACTAGAAGTTTTTAAATAATTTTTTTTTCTATTTAGAACTCTTCTGTATCATGAATACGGAGAAGTACTGGTGGCTGTTACTGAGAGTTTGGTGGTCGGTCAATTCAGGTAAAATTTAGGAGGTTCAGGTACAGTTTACAGAAACATGATTGGTAGACATACAGAACTTGAAATCAAATATTGAGTTTACTGAGATTGGAACTTTTGTGTGAATCTTGGACGCTTGATAGCCAATAATGAAGAAATTGAGTCTTTGCCACAAACTAAAAGTTTATAATCCGCATTTCTTTGCATTTTTTTGGTTTAAACCTATTTCAAATCTTAGATTATTAGATTTAACAGAATTCATGATTTGAATAATATCCAAGGTCTAATACACTGGGAAATGCTAAGATTAGATATAGGGATCGAAAATTAGAGTATGAGGATAATTGCTTGATACTTTAATTTAAGTTATCCCTACATAGTAAGCCCACCACGGTAAATCGAAGAGTTTTTAAAGTAATCCTATAGATCTGCACAAAACGGAGATCAATTCTTGATCCTAATATTCAGAAAACAAAAGTTTTGACGACTGAAAACTCCTAGATTGAACTAAACAAGGATGTATCAAATAATTAGAATAAAATTTGTAAATCCGTTATGAACAAAGTTTAAACTGCACTTATTGATTTATTGTTGTGTATTTGTAAATATGGAAAGTAGCTGAATCATGATGTAAATCCTTGATATCTTAAATTTAGATTATTTAATCCAACAGAACTCATTGTTGGAAATATCTATTCGCTGCAAAGATTTAGGTATTAGAAAATTAGAAAATCAGAGTTAGTTGTTGTGGTAAAGACTTAATTACTTATCATTCTTAGATATTCTTGAAGTATTAAATACTAACTTTAATATACGGTATACAATAGATAATTAAATATCGTCTTTATATTTGTAAATTTTACACACCTGTACCATTTGTACCGTTTACCCGAGTTTTTCCCTAAAAAAGTGGACCCACTCAACTTAGAATCTCATAATCAAGCCGAGAATTACGAGAACATTTCCGTGGTTCTTCCGAGTTAACTAATCGGTAATTTCCTAGAAGGCC